AAGGTCTGGCAGTTGGCTTCCCCACCTGGCACAGCCTTGGGAACTGGGAGGCAGTTCTGCTCTGCCCTAGAGGGTCACTGTGAGTGGCAGTCACCTGGACCGCAACGGGTATGGTTGATATTTTGTAACATAAAATACTTACTTGCATTCGCCACTCATTTTCATGTTTACGTTCTTTTTCTTTTGCCCCTTCTAATGTATAATCACTCAAGCTAATGTTTTGACACATTGAGGGTGTGTTCAGGCAGGAGCAGCACAAGGAGTGTAATCTATCTTAGCCAACAGTGGATTTGTGTGTGTGTGTGTGTGTGTGTGTGTGTTGCACCAAATACCTTATATACTCTTTTTGCCACTTGCCCTCTACTCACAAAATTGGATAAGTAAGATCTATTGTAATTTTAAAACTAGTGAGTATGACCCATTGTTCTCCCACCGTTTTCATTCAGGTTGACACCATGTGGACAGAGTTTGTTAAGGGGTCCTTGTTTCAGCCTCAGCATTACAGAGGCTGCAGCATCTGAACTCGGCCATAAAATGGTGCTGCGCAGGATTAGCCCGAGTTCAAGCAGCAGGCTGGCTTTCCAGAGGAGTCACTTAACAGCAAGCTGGGGGACCCTGTGCCTGAGCAAGTCCTGCTATCCTGCTTGGCGGTTTGTACAGGGTTCTGCTAGGGGTCATTCGTACAACCTACGGGTCCAGCATCTCCAGGCTGCACTGTGACGGACATCAGGAAGTGTCAGGTGGTCCTAAGAGTCACCCCACCCCCATCCCCAATTTTCCTCCTGGGCGCAAGGTGGGTGGCATTTAGCAGGCAGAGGTGCTCAAGTTCCGGGAGCGGCCGCAGTGGGGCGCCAGCCCACGGTAGCCTCGGGGTCGGCGGCGAGTGGGCTCCGGGTGGGGCGGCCCTCTGAGTAGAAGGGACTCCTAGAAGACCATTTCGCTGTCCTGCTAGGCCATTCGCTCTCCGGGATCCGGGTGGGGGCCAAAGGCGGTATTTTCTCTCAGATTGACGCAGGCTTCTCCCCCACTGGGATGCGTGCCGGCCGGAGTCGCCAGGACCAGGGGACTGGAAGGCGCCAGCGCCGCGA